GTCCTGTGCCGCCTGGGTGTATCCGAACTCAACCCCGCGGTGAGCACCAACCTTCTGGACTTCAGGGTTGCACCTGTTTTTGTAGAATCTTCTGGACATCAGGATTCTTTCTTGAGAGGCACCTGGCCTGTGGTTTCCCCAGAATGGTCTTGCCCAGAATGGGTCTCCATAGTGGGAAGGTGTCATATGTAATCCAAATGAGGCAGGTAGTGCCAAGGATACGGCTGGCATGGAGAGTCGCCATCTCTCCAGGCCTGGGAGTGAGGGGGGCGGGCAGCAGGGTCCAGGTGACACGGTGGCTCCTCAGCACCCTTGATGACGTGGACATGCTGTCATCTTTCCTTTGAGAAGCCTGAGTCCAGGGGCTTAATAGTAGACCAAGGCAGACTGTAGCTAGGTCAGACCACCCAGGACACCTCCCGGGCAGGCTTAGGTACCTCGAAGGAGGAGGCCAAGGTAGTCCCACTGGCCCCTGAGCCGTCTCCCTCACCCTTCCGTCTCCCTCACCCTTCCGTCTCCAGGGTTCCTCCTGGCTACACGTTGGCACCGACCAGCCCTTCGCCTCTGTCTCCATCGGGGCCTGCTATCAGGTGTGGGCTGTGGCCAGGGATGGCTCTGCATTCTACCGGGGCTCTGTGTCTCCGTCTCAGCCTGCTGGTGAGTGCGTCCACCTCCCACCTCTAGCCCCATTCCAAAGGAGTGTGGGAAGGAAGTTTCCCATTAAGATGGTGGGTGGGGGGCTGGAGAGATGGGTCAGAGGTTAAGAACACTGACTGCTCTTCCAGAGGTCCTGAGTTCAACTCCCAGCAACCACATGGTGACTCACAACCATCAACAGTGAAATCTGGTGCCCTCCTCTAGTGTGCAAGCAAACATGGAGGCAGAATACTGTATACATAATTTTAAAAAAAAACAAAAAGGAAAACTTTAAAAAAAATTTTTTAAAAAACTGGGCAGTGGTGGCTCACGCCTTTAATCCCAGCACTCAGGAGGCAGAGGCAGGCGGATCTCTGTGAGTTCGAGGCCAGCCTGGTCTACTAGAGCTGGTTCCAGGACAGGCTCCAAAGCTACAGAGAAACCCTGTCTCAAACAACAACAACAACAACAACAACAAAAAGATGAAAGATGGTGGGTAGGTCTCCTATTTATCAGAACCCAGGTTGAACCCCAGAGGACCCTGGGCAAGCCTGGGATACTGGGTGAGTGGCAGAGCCTGAGGTGGCCTTCCATGACCCCCAGCTTACACACTGAGCCCCAGCCACACATTTGTTGGAGTTGAAGGCTGACTGCAAGTCTCAGCCTGCTGTGAGCTTCGGGGTACTAGACAGGCCTGGGCTTGGGCTCACAGGTGTGTGTGGGGGTCTCTCGATAACCTCCTGAGTCAGCTTTCCCCTCACAGGTGACTGCTGGTACCACATCCCCTCTCCTCCCAAACAGAAGCTGACACAGGTGTCCGTGGGCCAGACATCAGTGTATGCCTTGGATGAAAACGGCAAGTCATTTGAGAGGCTGCATGGCCAGTGGGGAGGATGGGGTCCCAGGAGGGCCCCGCTGTGATCACGCCCAGGCCACCAGTAGGCTGGAATGACAGCCCTTCTCAGAGACCCTTTGGAAGTGTCCAGGCCTTTCTGTGTTGTTTCCCTAGGGACAAGGAATTTTAGCCGCTAATGTCACCTCCTGCACTGTGGTTAACATGGAGACAGGGCACTGGAGCTCAGCCCAATCTTCACCCCAGGAGCCATGCACGCAGGGTCTGGACCAAGGCATGGGGCCAGAAATGTCAGCTCAGCCCAGTCTTCACCCCAGGAGCCATGCAGGCAGGGTCTGGACCAAGGCATGGGGCCAGAAATGTCAGCTCAGCCCAGTCTTCACCCCAGGAGCCATGCAGGCAGGGTCTGGACCAAGGCATGGGGCCAGAAATGTAAGCTCAGCCCAGTCTTCACCCCAGGAGCCATGCAGGCAGGGTCTGGACCAAGGCCAACAGCAAAGCCCCTAGGATCCTGCATGGGGCCAGAAATGTCAGCTCAGAGCCAGTCTTGGTCTCTTCCCTAACTTACTCAGTTTGTGTGACCAGCCCCAGATGCATCTAGAGCATCATCTAGGCGCGCCTGGGTGAGGAACAAGGAGCCCCCTGGGCAGCACAGGGCCATTTCTGATCCCTGTGTCCCCTCTGACGGGGCCCTGGCTCATTCTTCCCAAGATCTTACTGATTGTCTTGATGAGATGGGTAGGAAAGGCAGAATTAAGACTTTGGAGCCATGGTGGCATAGGCCTGTAATCCTAGCACTGGGAGGCAGGAGGAGCAGAGTTCAGGCCTCCCTGGAAGTTCAGGGCCAGCCTGGAACACAGGAGACCCTGTCTCGAAAGCATGAAGACAGGTGTGGTAGAGCGTGTCTTAGAAGCTCTGTCCTGGAAAGGCTGTGTCAAAAGGATCATTTTGAGGGTGTCCTGAGCTACATTGTGCAATCCCATCTCTGAAACCCTGGCGAAAACGCCCAGCTCAGTCGGTAGGACACCTGCCTCGCACACACAAAGTACCACACGCCCGGGGTGTGGTTTGTGCACCAGTGATCTCAGGATTGGGAGGTGGAAGCAGCAGGGAGTTCAAAGCCAGCCTGGGCTACATGAGGCTCTGAAAAAGAAAAGAAAACAAAAACAGTCTTGGAGCCCAGGGGTTAGATCCAGATCCGGTTTTCTTTTTTATTTGCTTAAAACATTCTTTGTCCTTGGCTTCTCCCTCAGAGTGGCTGAGGCTGTCAGCTCCAAGAGGCACAATGAGACGATTATGAAGCCTAGCACACAGAGAGACAGGGTTGGCTATGGCCCAGGCTCCTGGCTGTGGGTCGTCAAGAGCCCTTGGGTGTGAAGGATTCGAGGGGGAGTTGGGGTTGACCCCACAGCATGCCAAGATGGGCCAAAAAGACTTTGCTGATGACCTTAGTTGCTTCTCCGTCCAGGGAACCTGTGGTACCGAGCAGGGATCACCCCCAGCTATCCCCAGGGCTCCAGTTGGGAGCACGTGTCCAACAATGTGCGCAAAGTGTCTGTGGGACCGCTGGACCAGGTGAGGGCACAGCAGGCGATGGCAGCGGGGACGAGGGTCTCCTCTGCAGCTGGGCCAGGAGCTCCAACCAAGTTCTGTTCCAGGTCTGGGTGATTGCCAACAAAGTCCAGGGGAGCCATGGCCTGAGCCGGGGGACAGTGTGTCATCGTATGGGTGTCCAGCCTCGGGAACCCAAGGGGCAGGGCTGGGACTACGGCATTGGAGTGAGTACACCGGCCATCTGGGACGGTTTGGTGGCGCTGTGTGCACCAGACTCGACTTGCGGGCTGGTGGGAGAGTCTTGGGGAGAAAGAATACTTGAGTCCTAAGTGACATGGCTTTCTGCTTGTAGGGAGGCTGGGACCACATCTCTGTCCGGGCCAATGCCACCATGGTACCCAGGAACGTGTCCAGGGAGCAGGAGGCCCATGGTCAAGGTCCCGCATACTGCTGAGGCCTCTCCTCACCCGGAGGCAAGGATGGTTGGAGCCTGAGGGACCAGAACCGAGCCTTTCTTGTGTTGTCTGAGAGGGCGTCACCCAGGCCCACACGTTCAGGGAGTCAGGCCCAAGTCGGCTATTTCTGAAGCACTGACTGAACGCCCAGAGATGTGAAACCGCAAGCACGCCCACGCGTGTTCCAGTCTGTGAAGGATGCTGTAGGGGAAGAGTGGAGACAACTACTGCCTGGGCCCTCAGCCCTGGTCCCTCCGTGTTAGGCCTCTCAGCTTTCCAGGCCAGAAACATAGAGCCCTCCAGAAATTCTGGCCCTTGACAGGCTGATCTGGGGAGGGACCTTCCTCATCACCTCCCAGTCATCCCCAGGAGAAACAGCCGTGAGGTTCTGGTGTACAAGCCTCAGTCAGCGGTCATCCCTTAACAGGTTTTCCAAATGGGTTTGGTTAAGCAAAGAAGTTGGGCTTGGTGGCTGATGCCTAAATGTCTGGCACTCAGGAGACTCAGGCAGGAAAATGGTGAGTTTGAGACTGCCTAGGACTACATAGCAAGACTGTCACAAATAAACAAACATCTAGATAAGTAAAGCAGGCCTGTAATCCTAGGACTCAAAAGGCGGAGGCAAGGTCAGGAGCCTGGGCTACAGGAGACCCTGCCTCAGGAACTAGGTGGATCCTGTCCTGGTTTGGGATCCCTCCTGGGGTGCACTGCAAGGCAGTTTCCATGTCGAGAATCAACACCATGAACCCCAATTTAGCCCCCTTTCAGATGTGGGGGCAGGGCCTCCTTACCCGGGACTTGCTGCAGGGCGGCTAGGCCTGGGCGAAGGCAGTTTGCGCCCTAGACTTGGGTGTAAGCCTGTGCTTTGTGGACGGGTATGGCCGGAGCCTCGGGCTGTCCTGTGACCCAGGACCGGGCAGAAGGCCCCTGCTGACCTGAGACAGGAGTTCCAGATTGCCCGGCATAGCCTAGCGCTGGCCCCGGCACGAGTGTGTGCCCGCAGGTGGTGTCTCGTGTTTCAGACACTGCCCAGGAGGTGCCAGAGCCCCATCTCTGCTCATTTGGAGCCAGGACAGGCTGACCCCTAACCGGTTTACCCTGGAATCCTCCGTGTGATGTCATGGTGAGGAAGGGCTACATTCTGCATGAGGGGTGTCCCCAGAAGCTAAGAGGAAACTATGCTGGAGCTCCATCCCAAGGACACCTCAGGAGCCCCATGTCCTCAGCACTTCCAGAGGGGGGACCAGACACACCCCGTGCAGAGAGGTGTTCGAGGGGTCACCTTCCCATCTGCATGCCAGTGTCAGGGTTCCCAGTGTGTTCCCCAGCAGCTGTGACCTGCAGATGGCTCTCACCAGAGTGCCACACGGGTGCCCACCACTCTGCCCTTTAGCCAGGGTGACATCCTTTCGCTGCCTGGCACCAGCTGTTCACCCCCTCAGTAACACCAAATCGTCTCAGCTCCTCAGATGTTCTATTTAATAAAAATTTATACAACGGCATGACTGACATCTTTTTATTAGAATTTGGATTGAAAGGCACAGGTCTCCAGGCCCCTGTGCCTAGAACCGAAGCACGGTGGCAACAGAATCTTTTCATTTGAAGATACAGCTGGCGATTTCATTAGTACTTCAAGGGAACCGTTAGGGAAAAAGCCAGTTCAGGTCACTACGGAGTGTTTCACCGCAGTGACGGGCAGGACGCAGGCCGTCCTCTTCATCTTGGCTCTTTCCAGACAGGTCACATTCCGCGTTCTCTGCCGCTGTTGATAGGATGCCGGTCAGCTCTGGTGGATCCGCAGTCCAGGGGACCCAGCTGGGGGCGGCTCCAACCCTCTTGTCCGGGGTTTTGAGCAAAATCAGCTCCATTACCCAGCAGGAATGAAGAGACCAGGCCGGGGGTGTCGATCATTTGGTAGAAAGCTTGCCAAAGATGCCCCAAGCCCTGGGTTCAGTCCCCAGGGCTGCCCAAACTGGGTACAGGGGGTACATGTCTGTAGTCGGTCCCAACACAAGAGGTAGAGGCAGGAGGATCAAAAGTTCATCCTTCACTACATAGCAAGTTGGAGGTCAACCTAGACTACATGAGACCTGTCTTAAAAACAAACAAAAATCAGACAAGCCTGGGCTTGAGACAGGGAGACAGACCAACAGACCTTATTGGCATCACAGACTTGCCCCCTAGCCTCCCAAGGGACATATAGGTCCTGTCTGTCACCGGTAAAGAACTGAACAGCTAGGCCCATGCCACCCTCTGGGAAGCAGGGGGTGGTGTGTGTGTCAGCTCGTGGGACACAAAGCCACCGGGCTGTAGCCACGCAAGGCAGTGACCCTGGGCAGCCCTAGGCTGTAGACAGGCCTGAGGGCAGAAGTTTGGTCAGACGTTTTCCCTTCCTCGCTGTACTTCCAGGCAAGGTCCAGCAAAATGAGCTGCGCTCTGGCCTTGGCTCATCTGGAAGCCAGCCACTGGGTTTGTAGTGCTGTCCTGTCGGCAGAGGCCCTTTGTGTTCCACACGGCAGGTCCCCCAGAGCAAGAGATATCTGGGCTCTGTCTTCCCAACTTGGAGGTGTGCCTGGCCTCGGCTCACACTGGCAAACTCCCTAAGTATTGACCTTTCCCAGTAACCATCCCTGAATCACAGACACAAAGGCCTCAGTCTACCCGACCTATGATCTGTGAAGGGACCAGACCCAAATCAAGTCTCACTAGGATAGAGAAATCAACACCCCCCGGGCCCTGTGTCACTATTAATTGTTTCGTGGGGTGCCAGAGCTGTCCCCCTATACCTATGTTCACAGTTCTTGGGAGGCTGAAGCAGGAGGATGGACCAAGCGCAAATTCAAAACCAGCCCGGACTGCATAATTTGCGACCAACCTGAGTAGTTTGCGATCAACTACACATGATAGTGAGATTCCTGTCACTCGAAAGAAAGGGGGGCGGGCAAGGGCCCCAAGGAACTCCAGGACAGTTCTGGGCAGAGAGACAAGAGAGGAAGGAGAAGCCAGCAGCAGTTGACAGCGAAGTAGTGAAGCCTGGCAGAGCCAGTGGGGCAGGAACGCCCCACAGAAGGAAGCTGGGTTTGAGGCAGTAGGTTGCCAACCACCCAGTCCTGGTTATTAATGATCAGGCTGGGGGAGGGGCAAGCCTGTCTCTCCAGCTTCCGCCTCAGAGAAAACACCAAGAATACCAAGAGCTAAGTCCCATGAGCCTGTGAAAAAAACACGTGGCTAGCCATACATCAGGGGCAAAGGCAAGAGAATAAGCCCTATTAAGCATGGTGGTCCACCCCTGGAATAGGGGGGTGCGGGTGTGGGAAGCCTGCTGAAGGCCGTGGGAAGCCTGCAGAAGGCCCAGGGCAGGTCTATCCCTGTACAGAGGCTCAAGGGTCTTCTTCATAAAGACCCTACCTGGTCCCCACGCAGGGCCTCAGGTCCTAGGCCCCACTCAGGCTGTGGTCAGTCACAGCCCCAGGGCACTGGAACCTTTCCAGAAGTCTCCATTTGGGGGAGGGGGAGTGAGGGAACCCAATTATCCACTTAAAGTCCCATGAGGCCTTTCTAAGCCCAGCTGTTAAGCTGAGCCCAGGACATCTGGGCTTTCAAGATGGCTGGTGCAGAAAGAGCTCCCATCTTGGCTCTGCTATATTCCCTGATGAATTGTGGGTGACGCTTTGGGCTCGGCCTCCATGTAGACCCACAATACAGGAGGGATCTTGGGCTCAGCGGTAGCAGGGACATTTGAAAGTAACATTCTTTCTGGAATCGCCCCACGGCCACCACACATAAAGAGAATTCTGAGGAAGGATAGCACTTTCCCATCCTGCCTGTTCTGTGGCAGGGACTGGGCAGGCTTTCCTCAGAGATTTGGGCCTCAATATGCCTTGATGCTGTCCCCTGGCTGGCTAGGAAAAACTGCCCCATGTTGATGGCTGAGCCGACGTTCAAGGAAAATGGAGTCACCAGAGATTCAACCTTGGGCTGCGGGATGTAGCTCAGGAGGCCAAGAGCTGGTTTAGCCTGCACAGAGCCCTTTTTCCGTTCCTAGCACCGCACCATGCGGTGATGTGTGCCTGTAATCGCAGCCATAGAGAAGGTGAAGGCAGGAGGATGAGGAGTTCCAGGCCAGCATGGGCCACACGAGAGACTCTGGTCAACAACAAAATACCTATAGCATCATCACCAGTTGGGCCTGTGGCATGGAGGGACCAGAGCTGAGCTGAGCAGGCCAGGTCAGCACTGTCAACCCAGCCCAGAGCCCAGAGCGGGTGCTAGCTGCCCTCTCTGAAGCTGTGGATCTGTGTAGAGTACCGTTGCAGGTGGCCCTGGGGCTGGTCCTCCGTGGCACCTAGCGTGGCCCCAGCCACCTGCTGCTGCTGCTGCTGCTGCTGCTGCTGCTGCTGTTGCTGGTGATGGTAGTGTTGGTAGAGTTTAGGACCTGGCGCAGGACCCGGCCCCTCCAGCCCCGGGAGGCGACTGCTGGACATAGTGAGTATGGTGGCAGTCAGTGACTTGATGTAGTTCTTGGCCAGCGTGAGGGTCTCAATCTTGGAGAGTTTCTTGTCGGCCCGCACGTGCGGGATGACCTCACGCAGTGCTTGGAAGGCGTTGTTGAGTTTATGCATCCGCTGTCGTTCTCGCTCATTGCTCTCCAGTCGCCTCTGGATACTATTCTCCCTGCGGCCACCAGACCCCTGTCGCCGGCGGCTGACCTCTGCTCGCGGTCCACCTGCACGAGCCGTCCTACTCCGAAGACCCTTCGTCAGCTCAGACCCTCCTGAGCCTGACTGGGGTCTGTCGGGAGTCTGCTCTCCTGGGGTGGCTTCTGTGTCCTGCATGGATGTTCGGCGCCGCGGAGGTCGGTTCTTGGTCTTCATGGCTTGTTTTCCCAGGAGGTGGTGGCTGGAAGAGGCCCTTCGAACTGAAATGGAGAACACAGCCCCTCTGCAGTCATTCAGTATGGCCGGGGAGCAGGCAGCACGGCTGTCTCATTGCTGTTTTCCAATGCAATGCTGTCTATAGCCAGTGCAGCTGACGGCGGGTGCACAGTGACACCTATGCACTTCCCATTCATGCTGAGCCCTTTGTTGACTCACCCATGGTCCTCGTTGATCTCACACGGACACATTTTTCTCTCACTTGCAGTCCCCCCTTCTCACTGATCTGGGAAGCCTTTCCAGGTCTCATGCCCCTTATTATTGTCATGTACCTCCTGAACCTAGGTGACCCTTGACAATTTATTTTAACCACCCAGGAAGAGGTCCCAACCTTGGCTTCTGGGGTCCCCCCACCACCACTGTCATTTGTCTCAGAGACAGGCAGCACTCATTAGACAGCATGTCTATCTACAGCTCTCCTGGACACGACACAGGCCCAGACACTCTCAGAACCAGAACAGCACTCAGGTCAGATTGACAGTTGCCAAGGCCCTGCAGCAGCCCCCAGTTCCACCACGTGGATGGCACCAGCCAGTCTGAGTGGGAGCCACCATCTGTGTTTTCCTCCCACCCTGAGCCAGACGTCCATCTGATCCTGCCTCTGGGTCCCCTCCTAGGAGTCCCATCCAGTTCCCCCAACCCCTTGGTTTACCTGGGGATCCGATCCGAGGCCGCACGCGCTGAGGCTGCCCACGGGGGACAAGGACACGTAGCTTTAGCCACCACGGGCGGGGCCGCGGGAAGCATGTAAATGAGTTCGCTGGGCGGGGCCAGGGCGGCACCTGCGGCCACGCCCCCGCTCTGGGAACCGGTGCGGGCTAGCTTCCCCTCTCCCTCTGGGTCTGAGAGCCCGCGGTCTCTGTGGACCCGCTGGGGCGGGGGAACCCCTCAGACTGCACCTGGCCAGCGCACCTGGCCTGGGGTTAAGGCTCAGAACAGAGTCTAGGATAAGCCACCCTGCGTGATCTTACAGGAACGGCAGCCACATCCCTGAACAAAGCGGGCACGATCTCTCCTTCCCTGCCCCAGAACACCGTGAATTTTCCAGGGGACCCTAAGGACTCGAGGACACAGCTTCTCCCCGCTTCGGTCTCTCCAGGCTGGAATGTGGTGGGTCAGGGAAGCTACCCAGGTCACTAGATCTCCAAGTGGCAAGGTGTCAGTCTTCAAGAGTCAGAAAATTGGGCCACAAAACAACAAACACACCCGCTTGCCTACCTGTTTTAATTGATGGCACCTGCCTGCCTGCCTCGATTTCCCCAGGTTACAAGAGAATTACAATATAAAAGGTTATGTGGCAGGGAGGTGGCTCTGTGGGTAGAGACAGACACCTGACATCAAATCTGATGACTGAGTCTGGGACCCACATGGTGGAAGGAGAGAGCTAACTCCCCCAAGCTGTCCATGAGTATCATGGTGCTCACAGGAAACAGGTTTTCCTGCTGGCCTTTAACAAAAAATTTTTTGGTTGTTTGGTTTTGTTCTGTATGTGTGTGTGTGCTCACTGATCAGAGGAGAACTTGCAGGAGTCTGTTCTCTACTTCTACCATGAGTTCCGGGGCTGAAGTCATTAGGTTTGGCTACAAGTGACTGAGCCATTTTGTTGGCTGTAGCAGGCATGGCTGCCCTTGAGCTCCTGATCCTCCAGCCTTTGCCTCCTGCTAGAATTAAAACTGGGTACTGACACACTCAGCTCAACTTCTGTGTTTTGGACTCAACTATTGACAAAAACGTGCTGAGAATTATCTATATATTCTTTAATCCAGTGAGTGCTGGTTACAGATGTGTGCTGTGGCAGTGTGGTATTAACTCCCTTTCTTTTTCTGTTTGAGACAGAGACTCCACAGCCTAGGCTGTCCTCAGACTCATGGCAATCCTCCTGCCTCAGTCTCCTGGTACAAGGATTGTTAAGTGTAGTTGGTCACTATGCTTAGCTAAACAAGCTTTTCCCCCATGGGCTGATAGGAAATGTCAAAATGCAGCCAGAAGACTCTGGGTGAGGTCTCATGTTTGGCAGACTTGGGTGCTATTACCTGTGACTCAGCCTGCCCATGGGCAATGTCTGGTGGGAAGCTGTCACCTCCCTCATGCCACTTGGCCTTCAAGGAGAGAAGAGTCAGGGGTCATGGAGACAACCCACTATTGCATAGGACAGCTATTGTTTCTGAAACTGGACCTCATTCATACCATAGCCCAGGCTGGACTTAGGCTCATGGCAATTCTTCTGCCTCAGTATCCCAGGTGCTGGGGGCTAAAGGAGTGTACCATATCCAAGACCAGTGAAAGGCTGTGATGTTTAATGTGTTGGCGCATGTGTGGTGTGGGGGCATGTGCACATGCATGGAGTATGAAGGTCAGAGGTCAACATCAACTGTTACTCCTCAGGTGCTCCATCATTTTGTTTGCCTGAGAGGCTCTCGGTGGTCTGGAACAGGAGCAGGATGCTAGGCTGACCAGTGAACCCCAGCGATCTGCTGCCTGTCTCCCCAGAACTGGATGACAAGTGTGCAGGCTCCACCCTACCTAGCCTTTCCATTTTTAGACATCATGGGTTTAAAACTGAACATGGGTCTTAGCAAATAAGTCATTTTCCAGCCCGAAGGGCCAGTTGTGAGCTTCTTGGAGTAGTACTTGGAGGCCGGGCCAAGCCAAGGCCTCATAAACCAAATCTCACCTGAACTCGTCAGTAAGTAGAAATGCTTGAATTACAGAAATCACAGCCACACGTGCAGGCTCTACAGTGCTCTGTGACCCATCCTTATACCCTCAGGACTGTGGGGGGCTCAGAGACCCAAAAGTACCACGCTGATCCCACATATGGAAAGAACAAGGAATAAATGTAGCAACGGAGTTTATAAATATATAACTATATTTATTTTGAATATTAAATAGTTTTTAAATTACAAGCAATTTATTGAATCACACTAAGCTTCAATATACAGTAAAAATCTTACAATTTAAAAATGTACAATTTAAACTCCAAGTTCATTAACTGTTATTTTGCTGTGAACCTTCTGTGTGAAGTACAACCCAGTAGGTGGCAGGCCTGGAGGGTGTGACTGCCCCACCCAGGTCTCAAGCTGTGGACATGATCAAACAGTGGGCACATGCACAAGTCTGGTCATCAAGACCCAGCTTTGCCTGTGCAGGCTTCAGTAACCAAACACCACATGTTCAGCCACTGGGATGGCTGTGGGTAACGCAACACTGTCAGAGCATCTTAAGAACCTATTTAGAAGTTAAACGGAGTTTCCTTACGGCCAATATAGTGCCACCCTGTTCGCTACTTAAGGAATATTGAGATGTATGTTTGAAGTAACCGTGTCTGCCCAGTCTCTTGAGGTGGGTGCTCTGAGGTGTAGCACACAGAACCTGACACTTGGTTACACCTGAGATTTCAGGCGATGGGCTGAGGGGTGGGAGGTTGAGGCGCTGCCTGCTTTCTTCCCCAGCCCTGGGACAGACATGCAATAGGTCACTAATTCTACAAATACCCTATGAGAAATATGAAGAAAAAAAAAGAGAGAGAAAGGTTTAAAAGGGCATTTCACAGCAGGGAGACAGACCTCCTTAGATAAAGCCATCTTCCTAAAAACATTCAGACCTGTACAGCTGGAAATAGAGGCCGCTGGCAACTGCAGCCTTTCAGTGACTGACTCTGACCAGGCAGTCTGAGTCTCATGGGGAGGGGACTACATTTTTCTTTCTGACTTATGATCGGTCTTCATATAACAAATGGAAGATAGCAAAGAAAGACATGGAGGGCTCATTATTATTTTATTTTTTAAGAGAACTTCAAAGGTCAGTTTCCAGTCTGATAGGTGGAAGATGGGCACTTAGGAAGGGCAGGAAAGAACCACTGGGTCCAACCCCATGCCAGCTACAGGGACCACTGATTTCACACTTATTTGAATGAGCAAGTTTGGAAAGCCCACCAACAGCAACCAAATTATCATTAAAACAAAACCGGCTGGGTGTGGTGGCAGCACTTGGGAGGCAGAGGCAGGCTGATCTCTGTGAGTCTGAGGCCAGCCTGGTCTACAAAGCATGTTCCAGGGCAGCCAGGACTACAAGGAAAAACCCTGTCTTGAAAGAGCCAAAAACAAAAAAACAAAACAAGACAAAACCCATATTGGATGGCAAAGTACATGCTCACTTTTCAAAAATGGTCAGGAATTTAATCTATGGAGATGTCTGCATATTGCTTGGGACTTTGGGAGGGTGCACTGACAAGTGTTACACATTAGTCTTCCCTTCCATGCGATGCCACAGAAAGACCCACCCACCCCCACCCAACTCAAGATATAAAATGCTTTTGTTTTGGCAATTAACCATGAGAGCAATATAGATATAAATATAAATGGGATTGTATTGTTAAAATCCCCTCAACATGGTGAAAGATGGCCAGCCCTCAGCCATCAATAAATCTACCCCGGGCTGGCTGTGTAAGAAGGCTATATATAGAGTCTATGGATCCCCGTGATTGTAATCAGTGAATCTGAACTTCTTAAACCTATAATTTGAAAAAAAAATCTTAATATAACTGCTTCTCTCTTCAACTAAGATTGGTAGATAGAGGTAACAAAAAAATCAGAAATTTCACACAGCAAAAAATTCAGTTATGACAATTTTGGCAAAATTACTTTCAAATGCCCTGTTTGTAATATACATGTCACAAGATCCAGTGCTTTCTATGGAGCCCCGGCATGCTAGGCCTGCACCAAGTAGGGGAAAAGGAGACTCTCTGTTCTTAATTGTCTTCTGTTGATTGTAAAGTTATTGCTTAGTATAAAAAAATTCATGGATCGAATCAAGAGTTGATAATAAAGATCATAATTTGCTATGTAAACTGACACCGACATCCACACTTGCACTCTGTAGGAGGGCCCAAGTCCCTCTGATTGACATCACCATGTCCCAGTCAGGGCCTGGAGACTCACCCCAATGTCACACTGGAGTCTGGATAGTGGGGTCAGCACCGGGAAGTATTGGGGGTGATCAGCCCATGTAAGAGCCACCCCAACAGGTGCAGTTCCCGCTCAACATGGCACTGGCCACCAACACTTCCTTACATCAAAGCAGGACTCCTGGCCAGCAGAGCGAGGCAGCCTTGTGTTGGGGATACCAGATCCTTCGATGCTGAGGCTATGCTGAAGACTTGACATCCCTTTCAGAACAAGAGAAGAGCAGAGTGCTTGACACAGAATGGGAGGCATTTGTGGGTTCCCCAGGGTTGCTGGAGGCCCTGCTGGGGTCCCTGTCCTCCTCCTTGCAGCAACAGGCAGGTCCAGAGCACTGCCTGTCTCCTGGGCGCTGTGGCCTGGAATGGGAAGCCCCAGCCCCAACCCCAGCCATTTTCAAACAGCTCTCTCAGCAGCATCCGTTCTGGACAAACTGCTCTTTGCACCCACAGTTTCTCATGGGGCCTCAGAGGTCCCCACCTACCTGCAGGACATATGAGAACTCTTGCAGGCTGGCCTCTGTGGAGAGGAAGTAGTGTGGGCCTCATCTGCCACACCAGAAAATGAATGGCCCTGGGCACTGAGAGCACTGAGTTCTGGGTGCATCTCTTATTGGATTTCTACCAAAAAGATTTAAAAGCACAAGAGGCAGGACAGGCTACTCAGAGAGAATCCACCTCATACAGAGACATGCTTGATGCAATCAACGTAACTAAGCAGCAGTTCTGAAATCAAAAATATTTCCTCTAGGAACATAGAACACAAACACCCAGAGTCAGCATGGCCTGGGAAAGAGT